TCTCTAGGTTTGGAAAGTTTTCTTGCAGGATTTCATGGAATAGTTTATCAATGCCCTTATGAGTCTCTTTGACTTCTGGGATACCAGTTATCCGGATGTTTGGACATTTGATGGTATCTAGTATTCCTCATACATTATTCTCAAATTTGGGGGCAATTTTCTTAGTCTTCATGGTGGATTTTCCTAGGCCAGCACTTTTCTCTTCTACATCTGAGATTCTATTTTCTGTATGATCTAGTCTGCTTTTAATACTTTCAAGAGAGATTTTTACTTCCTGTATTATAGTCTTTTCCATTTGATTATTTTGTAAAGTGTGTAATCCTCTTTCAGATCTTGCAAGAATTTCCTCGCCTCCCAGCACTTGTCAGCTCCTTTCTCCTTTCTCTTCTGCAGTTTATTGTCTCTCTTCTCTTCCATCTCTGTTAACTTCGCCATTATGAATGTTCTAAATTCTTTATCAGGCATATCCATGGTTTCTGTTGAACTGTCTGTGGATGAGGAGGAGTTATTCTTTCCCCATGGAGGACAGGTATTTTCTTGCTTTCCCATATTTCTTGTGGTCCTGCAGTGATTTCTAGTCATCTGATGGAAAAGTGTGTTACTTCCCAAACTTGAAGTTCAATCTGAGTGTCCAGGAGCGTGCAGAAAAGGAAACACAGAGAGAGAAACAACAGCAACAAAAACAACCAAGAAACAGAGAAAAAGAAAAGAAAAAACTAAAACAAAACACAACATTTAAAAAACTAATTTTTTTTAAAGAAAAAAGTAAAAATTAGAAAACTGCATGGCGCAAAATCACTAGTTCTCAGTAGCCATGAAGGGGTCTTCTGTCTCCTGTGCCCTTGCCTTTCCTGGGTTGGGAGGGGAAGCGGGGATTATTAACAATATAAAGGGAAAGGAGGGACTGAGAGCCCAGAAACTGCTTAACTTTAAAAATTTTTAAAAAGGAAAAATTACCAAAAAATGAGAAGTCAGAGACAGAGGTAGAGAGAGAGAAAGACAGATGCAGAGACAAGAGGCTGCAGAGTCTTCTTCCTACCATGTGAGTTTGAGGAATTATCAGTAGAAAATCTTCATTTCTCCTAGTCTCCTGAAATCACTTGTTCTCAGTAGCCATGAAGGTCTTCTGTGGCCTGGGCCCTTGCCTTTCCGCATGAGTTTGAGGGCTGGAGGCTGAATTATTAATGGAAAAATCTTCATTTCTCCTAGTCTCCTGAAATCACTTGTTCTCAGTAGCCATGAAGGTCTTCTGTGGCCTGGGCCCTTGCCTTTCCGCATGAGTTTGAGGGCTGGAGGCTGAATTATCAGTGGAAAAATCTTCATTTCTCCTAGTATCCTGAAATCACTAGTTCTCAGTGGCCATGTAGGGGTCTTCTGTGGCCTGTCAACAGCTAGTGTTTCTTTTTTTTTTTTTTTTTTTGAGAGGTTTTTCACTATAGGGTGCGTGTGCTCGCCAGACAGACAGAGACAGACATAGAGACAGAAAGTGAGAAATCACCCCCCCAGGGGGGATGGTCATGTCGCAATCCCTTCTCCTCCATTCTCCTCTTGGGATCTTGGGCACGCACGCACATGCACCCGGCATGAGTTTTAAGCCACCAGGTCTGGGATGTGAACCACGGTCAACTACGTGGGAGTCCAGCGACATAGCCATTATGCTAACTGCTGGTCCCGACAGTTAGTGTTTCTTGAGTCATAGACAGTGATCTCAGTACTTTTTATATTAACTCATTGAATCTTCACAATCATCTACAGGTTTGAAAAGATGTGAAAGCACTAAAGAAGACATGTGATTTGTTGGGGCAGTTAGACCTTTCCTATGAATAGAACAGCATGTGCATTAAAAGGGAATGGGGAGAGATGAGACAGTAATAGGTTGTGGCCAGATTTTGAGGGACCTTGAATGCTGTGCTAAGAGACCCACTTTATACTGAGACACTGAAGGTTTTTAGACAGGGGAGTGACATACTCTTGTGTGTATTTTGGAAATAGTTCTACCATAGCAGTATGGAAGATGTGAGCTAACAGAGAGTGTTAAGGAAGTACCTTATTCTAGTGGTCAAGGTGAAGCATTGGGGCACCTGAGTGGGCCCCAACCAGTATTCAAGGAAGCCCTGGTTTCCCTGCAGAAGCTTCTTAGGGGTTCTGTAAAAGGGAGAAAAAAAAAAAAAAAAAATTGATGGGCTTTGTAGTCCCACTCCCACTTCTAGATAAAATATGTGGAGGTCCAGGTGAACTAATTTGGGGGGGGGGTTTCAGGGAAAATAGTTTATGACATTTCGAGAAACTATTGGCTTATAGAATAAGTCTTTTCCTCTTTCTCCCTGTTGAGCTACACTTGACCTTTAACACCTATTGGAGCTGTGCATTCCTCTGTGAAGCTTTCTTTGACTCTCTTGGCAAGAGTTCATGGGTCCTGTTGCTCTGTTATCCAGTATCTCATGCTCGCTTCCTTTATCACATTTATCACATATCATGTAACTCTCTGTTTTTGTGTCTGTCTCCTCCACTAGTCAATAGACTCCTCAAGGGCAGGTGCCTTATTCATATTTGTATTCTCAGCATCCTACTTAGGAGTTAGTAATATTAATCTTAGCTAGTATTATTTGGGCACTTACTATGTGTTAGACTGTTCCCTATGTTTCATATGTATATTAGTTCATTTAGTCACAAGATATAAATGCTGTACTGATCCCCATTTCGAAGATTGAGAAACTGGGGCAGCAAGAGGTTAAATAACTAATTCACAGCCTTGCTATTAGTGGAGCTGGAATTTGAAGCAAAGTAGTCTGTCTCCATAATCTTTATTCCTTAACACTATTATAGTGCTTCTGGCACATAATAGGCATTCTTAAAGTTGAGTGAGGAAATGAATGTATGGAATGATAGTTGTTAGAGTCAGAGAGTAGGAACAGCCTTAAGTTCCTATTGGATGTTGAGTTGGGATGTAAAGTTAGTTATGAAATTTCTCTGACCATTTTCTGTAGACCTGAGAGTGAGAAAAATATAAAATCAGTTCTTTTCCTTAGGATGTTGGTGAATTTCAGCTCCCATGAACACCTGTTACCACAACCAGTATCTAATTGGTATTTACTGATATAGCCATCTTATCAATTTATGTCTGGGATTTATTCTTCTATATAGTACTTTATCAGTCAGCATCTAAACTGTATGAGTCTCTAAAATGTTTTGAATATTACCAGTTTCCTAAACTGTAGGTGGGAAGTTTGGAGTTGGGATGGTAGAGTTGGAGGAAGGGCATGTTTCCTATAGTCACTGTTCATGCTGCTTCTTCCAGGCTCTAACCCTGGAGTATTACAGTGGCTAAAAAACTTCTGAGCTACACCCGCTGGTCAGGCAGCTGAACATTCTGCTGACTTTGCATTATTCCAATAGGCTCAAGACTGTACATTCCAAGTATTCTCATCAGTAAGTACCAAGCCCGGGTTGAGGGTGGGTTTGTACTCATTCATGGGCAAGCTTTAAAACACGAAGTCTAGACTAGCTTCACTTAAGAAATTTTTAATCTTTTTTGCTCTATGGTTAAAGCAAGATAGGGAACCAAGGAACCAATGTCTTACTTGTTACATGGAGTTTATTTGGCTTTGGCCTATTTTATACTGAGCAGATTCCTCTTCCTTTTGCAGGGTCTTCTTTGAAGTCACCAAAATCCCCCCCTTGGACACATTAAAGCTGGAGGAGATTTTGAACTGTTGATTATGAGGCTGAGAGCCTGGCACTCTGGCAGCAGCCGCCAGGGTCAGGCAGGCATGTTAATAGGCTATATTTATTCTGTGCTTGCATTTGTCTTTTGAATACTTGTCTTAGTTTATCCTTTCTTTGCTTGTTTTTCCCAAACTGATTATGTTGTAAATATTTAAGTTTTTATGAAGAGAAAAAAATATTGTCATGTTTGACTAGAAAATTAATAAAAAAACATCAATGATTATTGTTTAAAGTATCTCATCTCTCTTCCATTGGCTCAGGAATCCCATGCACAGCTCAAGAAAATTTAGTTTCATCCTAGGAAAGGTTGTCTTAGGGCCTAACCATCTAATTCTCTGCTCATTTAGGAAACTTTCATCTAATGGGAAGAGGAATTGAGTGAAGTGTGAACTGATAGATGAGTTTATAGAAAGAGGATCCTGGGGAGTGGTGCCTAGTCCAAGGAGAAAGCCCTCTGTCCCATAGATAGGCCTCAGTGTTCTTAGCTGGGGAAGCTGACAGTATAGCCTTTGGTTCCAATTTCAGGTCACTTGATTTTTTTGCTTCTTCTTACATGATGAAAAGGTGGAGATAAGTAAGGATTTTTTTGGAGAGGTTTTTCACTATAGGGCGCGTGCGCTCGCCAGACAGAGAGACAGAAAGCAAGAAATAACCCACGCAAAAAACCAGGGGGGATGGCCATGCCACAATCCCTTCTCCTCCATTCTCCTCTCGGGATCTTGGGCACGCATGCACATGCGCCCAGCGTGAGTTTTAAACCACCAGGTCTGGAACGCGAACTGCGGTCGACTACGTGGGAGTCCAGTGACATAGCCATTACACTAACTGCTGGTCTTGGAGATAAGGATTTTTAACCCAAATGTAGCCTTGCTTTTATAGTTAGGTGGCTTTCTAGAGTCTAAATTTGAAAAAAGAACAAAGCAAACAAACAAACAAAAAGATCTGCTTGGAGTGGTGTGCTGAAATCTTTTTTTTTTAAAAGAATTATTTAATTTTATTATTTTTTGATTTGATAAAAGGTGTGTGTGTGTGTGTGTGTGTGTGTGACAGAGAGAGAGAGAAGGAGAGAGAGAGAGGAGAGAGAGATAAGAGAAAGTGAGAAACCAAGTTGCTAGGTCTGGGACTCAAATCATGGTAGACCATGTTGGAGTTCAGTGCCCTAACCACCATGCCACTTGCTGGCCCACTGAAATCTTTTTTGGCCCTCCTGCCAAGAGAAGAAATTTCTACTTGTGAAATCAGCAAGATGGCCCATGAATGGAAACATCAGCAACTGGTCAGAGCTTTCACTGATAAAGCCTTAGGAAGTTCTATTCTTATTTTCTCTATCCTGTCTTTGGGGTGATGTATACTGGGATATTTATTTCAGTGTTTAGCAGAGGAGTTGAATAACCTCTATGAAAAATGTTCACAAGCCATTGCCTCAATCTAGGACCTCCCCACAACTCAGCATGTAATATCTACCACAGCAGGAGACCACTAGGACTGTTCTAGTGTTGTGGCTGACACTTGTCCTGATCCATCTGTGGTCCTTTGTTACGACATATTAAGTAGTTTGAATATCAGTCCTGAGGATGGACATCTGATAGAGGGGATAGTAAATGAAGTTAATGGAGAACATGCCTTCCTGATTTTGGCCCAAGACTCCTCAGGCTATTCTGATAGGTTATGGATAAGAAGGTGAGGATGCCAACCCCTTGGGTGTCTCAGTGATTTTGCTTCCTTTGAATCAGTGTCCCATTTCCTTTTCCAACTTATTTTGACTAGTGGACAAGTCATTATTAGGTTCACTCTGTCCCACTGCTTTGCTAGATGACTAAAGGGTACAACTAGAGAGGGCCAAGCTGTTCAGCCATGTTACTGCTAGCGAAGCCAACTTGGCATGAATGTGCTAAAAGGCAGTTGGCTAGAAGCCACCTTGGAAATCTCCAGCCTCATTGAAAAAGTGTCTTGTACCTGTTTTTTAATTCTGGAGCTTCACATCAGGAGAAAAATTTACTAGGTGAGTGATCCCCCCCCCCACCTTTTCCCAATATTTCTTTTTTAGAGGTGCTAATGAAATCATCAGTCATTTTTGTTGTTTTTAATGCCTTAAAATTTATATTATACTTAGCACCTCTTCAAAATTAAGATAACTATTAGAAGTGAATTTTGTTATTTAGTACCTCATTTAAGAAGCACATCTATTTCTTTATCAAAATTTGTTTTTATATTTTGATGACATTAGTTCAATATAGATAGTTTTAATTGTAACCTTAGGTATTTTTAACAGTTTTATTGAGATATAATTCACATACTATATAATTTACCTATTTAAAGTATGCAATCCAAAGTCTTAGTATAATCATAGAATGACATGTCCATTGCCATAATCTAATTTTGGGACATGTTTATCTTTCCTGAAAGAAACCCAAGTGCATTAGTGGTCAGTCCCCATCCCTCTACCTGCAAGCCTTAGACAAGCACTAATTTATTTCCTGTCTCCATAGATTTGCCTATTCTGGGCATTGCATATAAATTGAATCATACAACATGTGGCCTTTTGTGTCTGGCTTCTTTCACTTACATGTTTTCAAGGTTTACATTACATACACACATACATACATACATACATACATACATACATATTTTTTTTTGGGGGGGGGAGAGGTTTTTGCTATAGGGTGCGTTTGCTCGTCAGAAAGACCGAGAGACAGAAAGCAAGAAAACACCCTC